AACAAGTTTTCTAGAGATGTCAGTCGTTCTACCGGTTGATACAGCAATCAACCTAGCTGATTTCACACGTTATGCCAGCCACGCACCACTTCCGGAGGTGGGCGGTCGTAGCGGGGCCAGGCGGCGAAAGCGCTTAATACGTGCCCTGGGGCCTTATTACGGCGCCGTTTGGGATTCTGAGCATGGTAACGTCTCTGTGGGTGCGTAGCCATGCACAAAGACGACAAAAGGGATTGGTTTGGTCCACTAAGCCTGACTCGTGCCTTTAAAAATGCGCTTCACGCGGAAAAGAAGTCACTACTTTGCTGCCCTTTGCAAGTCTTCCATGAACAAATAGGTTTCCTCTTCTTAGCAATGGATGGATGGATGACTTTGCCACAATGGAACAACCGATGACAAAGCGACCGGTCCCCAAATTCCACTTTCACGGTGGTTGCAGAACAGATACCGTGAAAATAGAATTTGGCAGCCTTAGCAACAATGTGCTCTCGTGAACACACTGTGCAAGGCCAATCATAAGAAGGGAATCTGGCACTTCTGAAGTGCAAAGAAAAAGGTAAGGGTGGCGAAAAAGCATACGTAACTCTGACATAGAATAGACCCCGCAAAATATAGTGCAGTTGAAACCCGCACCGAATCTCCGCATCTTAGACTCCCAATAGGAAGAGTCCAAAGCACTCCAATCATCAATTAACGGCAAAGCATTTAATTTTCATGAACAAGCGCATTTCATAATGATATGTCATAGAAAAGAGAAAAAACGAACTTGCAGATGGAATTAGTGAGCGATCTAATATTTGCCCGTTTGATTTCCGGCTTTATGTTATTTGGATCAGATGACAGCTTGACCACTTCATGAATTTTTATTCCTGAAATTTTTCTGCAATTTGTTCAACTTCCTTCTAGTAAAGAAAACCGAAGATACTCCAATAATAGGACCAACATGTAAATAAAACTATCACAAGAATGGTATATCACGGGCAGAACTCTCTGCCCTAGGCGGGAATCGATCAAGAATTGAATCAAAAACCAAGAACATGAAATAATTCAAACGCCTTTTTTCTTCGATTTTAAGGCGGCTAGAAGTAAAGAACGAATGTGGAGGGACAAAAATAAATGAGTAAATAAGCCATACCTGAATGGCAGGCCAAATATTGCCACAAAAGGCTAGGTAGTCGAAAGCAGGCTGCTTCAGCCAGAAGAAAAAACGGCACCCACTAAAATAATTGTAATCGCTGTGGCACACTTCTAGCTATTGCAGTTATAACACGCCAACATTCACCTGATAGTAACTTATTTGCCTTTTACGACGGTCATCGTCAGGCATCCCAGCGACGGCTTCACCCATCGGCACATAGTAGGTATCCTGTGCCCAGCAATAATTTTCGGCATACTGAAAAAATATTTACGGCTTGGCATGGAAGAGTCAACAGAGAGTGAAACATCAAACCTGTTCCCATGAGCTGCTGAATATGTCGGGAACTAGACATTCTATCGGTTTCCCTCCGAATTGCTGCAAAAGTTCATAGATTTCTCAACAAAACTAGCTTGAACAATTAAGCTATGACAAAAACAGCTCTAATGCTAAACTGAAACAAATCGAAATTTAGTATCATCGTCCAAATAACGAAATT